TACTTTCTTCCCTTCAGACTTATCCTGATATTTCCTCTCCCGCCCTCCACTCCACCGTGCCTTGGCATCCCTCCGTCACAATCAGTGACCTGCAAGGTGGGTTTTCTCACCTCTAACACACACACACCACACACCCACCCAGACACGGCCCCCCACACTTGAAGTGGGATGCCTGGTTTGTGTGGGGGTTGATGGTAGAGGCACGGCCCTGTAGCCCCTCGTGATTCACCCTTCTAAATTCAGAATTTTGGAAAGACTGGGGCCCAGGTGAGGATAGGAAGAAAAAAAGCAGGAAACAGCCTTACGTACTGAGTGAATCCTATTGTCTTGATACTCAGAGGCAGGCTGACGCTTGCCAAGTCCCACATCCTCCCACCCCCAGGAGGAGGGGGTGGGCATGTAGAGAAGTCCTTCTTGTACCTTCAAGGGAGGGGGAAGGGATTCACTCCTTTTTGTTGGTTAGTAAATTTGGGGGTGAGGGGAATCACTGCCCCTACAGCAGCTCTCAGTGCTGGAGCACAATCCAAAGGCTAGGGCGGTACTGAGGAGAGCAGATCCATTCGAGTCCCCACTCGATCCCCACTACCCAAGAGGCCTGTCCCCTGGAGAAGCCACAGACACTAATGAACAATTAGGAGTACTGTTACCAGAGAGGGGGCTGGCCAAGTGGGTCTGCCTACAGCCAACTGTAGTGTGTGGGTTCTTGACTTCGTGTAGGAAAGATTTCACAACACGAGTCCCGGTGACTCTGAGGATCTATTATTAAAGCTGGGGACAGTGAAACAAGGAAGGGCTCACCATAGAAGAAGCAACAGGAGAGCCTGGGCTGGGGCTGCCTTAGCTCCCTGGGAAGTCAGAGAAAAGTGGGTCTTAGGGACAGGTTCAGGGGATTAGCCTGGGAGAAGCTGCCACTGACCATTGCCTGCAGGGTTGTCCAACCTTTTGACCTCTCTGTACCACACTGAAAGAAGAGTTGTCTTGGGCCACACATTAAAAACATCGCAACACATAATCACAAAAAAATCTCATAATGTTTTAAGATAATTTACAATTTTGTGTCGGGCTGCATTCACAGCCATCCTGAGCCATATGCAGCTTGCGGCCCCAGGTTAAACATCCCTACTAGAGTTTAAGAGCCATATGCCTGTCAAGAAAGAGGTGAGGGTGGGGGGAAGGTGAAGGGAAAAGAAATGGTGTGGGCTCCTCTAGAGAAGGAGAGTGAGAGCTGGGGCCTTTGTATTGAGGTGCAAGCTCTCTTTCTCTCTCTCTCTCTCTCTCTCTCTCTCACACACACACACACACACACACACTCAGGAATCTTAGGGCAGGTCTCAGGGGAAGGTTTCAGCAGAATGTTCATCAGTTCTCCCCATGGGCCCTGACAGGGTCACGGTCTCCACTGTTTGGTCAGTGAGGGCAGGGGGTCTATAGTCATTGCAGTTGGTTCTGGCATTGCCCAACTGGTTTTGCTGCTTTCCTGGGCCTGGAACTGAAATACAACTGAGGCCTAGATGATACCTCCAGGAAGGAAAGGTTACCCTGGGGGCAAGGTCCTTGTTTTCCTAGTTTTGCCCCCTGCCAGGCACTTGGAGCCTTCTACCCTGGCAACAGTCTGCACCTGGCTGTAAACTGCTAAACCATTGGTGCTCAGCTGTCTGTCTCAGTTTCCCTAGTCTACTTGCCAAGGAATTTTCCTAGCCTCTATCACGTCTCCCTAACATCATAGGGATAAGGCAGAATCACACCATCTCCCCAGAGGTCAGACTGGGCCCTGAAGTGAGGGGTAGTTTTCTACTTAGAATCAGTGGACCCTTCCCAAGCTACTCCAGAAGGGGTGTTCCCAGAATTCCAGCTTCTTGTCCCACAGAGACACACCACACCATCACCACCCAGACTTAAACAAGCAGAGGGCAGGAAGCAGGGAATCGGTGGTATTTTTTTAGGCACTGCACCATGGCTCTAGGGCAGCTTCATGTCTAAATCTCCCTCCCCGTCCCTACCCTGTGTTTGCCCAGTCTGTCTCTCTTCCTCTCCCGGCTCTCCTCTCCCCTTTCCTGGCCCCTGTCTCTTTCCCCACCTTTATTGCCCAGCTCTGGGCCTGTGGGGGTGGCAAGCCTTAGTGGTCAGACAGATCCGCCAGGCATGGTTAGGCTGGGGGCCAGTGCTGCAGTGTGTATCAAGGGGGCTGGAAGTGGAAAGAAGCTGGAGGGAAGTGGTGAGGGTCCTAGGCCAGAAAGAGGAGGCTGGCTCCTCCGTTGACCCCTGCCGAATGAAGCCTGGCCTGCTCCGGAGATGGCAGCAATCAGGTCTGTTAGTGCTGGAGGGAAGCCCACGTGGCGCACACCCTGCGTGGGCCCCCAGCCAGCACCCACACCCCTCCAGAGCCTCCTCCGTGGGCGGAGATGATTGCTAGATGCCAGGGACTTCTGTGGACAGCATCAGCAGAGCCCAGCTCACACTGGCCTGTGCCTGGAGTTTTTCTAGCCCGGCCAAGGCAGTCCTAGTCACCCTCTCTGCCCAGTCTAATGGCCCTCTTCCTCCCTGGGCTCCCTCAGATCCTTGGTGGAGGAGTGGGGTGGGAAGGGCTGATCAGGTTCCCCACTCCTGCCCTATCTAACACTGTGACTTGCTCCAGACGCCCTCCTCCCCCATCCGGGCCTGCCTGAACCCCCACACAGGCCTATCTTCCCCCTACCTTGTGTCCGTCTGTTTGTTGCACGTGTGTTTGCTCAGCCCAGTGTTTGTTTTGTCACCAGGGCGGGTCTCATGACTGTGCCTTCTCAGTTTGTGTCTGTGACCATACCTCCATGGCCTTGTGGCAGGGCTGGGACTAGGGCAAGGCCAAGGAGGCGACCTGACTGAGTCACAAAATTTAAGGGGGTGCCAAAACCCCTAGGAATCAAGATGAATATTTTAATGCAGTGTTTAAAAAAAAAATCAAGGTCAATGCAAAAGAAAAATCCACGAACAAATTATCAGAATTGAAAATAAAGACAGAATCTGGTTCTTACTGGGTCAGACTCACCTCACCTTCCTCGAGCGGACAGGGGCTCTCTGTTCACTATGTCTGGGCTTGCCCCTCCAGCCTAACTTCTCAGCCCCTTCCCTCTGCTCTGGGTGGGTCTCTGACCTTGTGTGATCTGTATGTGTTTGGGGCTGAGGTTAAGGAACAGTCATCTAACTGTGGCCTTCTAAGTCCCATAAAATGTCCCCTCCGCCAGAAACCGTAGATTCCAACTCCATTGATATCCCCACTCCAGCCAGAGCCCTACCCGCACCTCTCCGCCTCACCAGGCCTTTGGAGAACAGCTCAGACCCCGCCCCACCCCCACCCCCACCCCACCCCCCCCCCCACCGCCCCGCCTCTGCTCCCCGCACACCTGCAGAGACTTTGCAAGGTCAGGCTGAACAGGGGATGGGGGAACGGAAATTCTCAGGCCGGCTCTTCTAGCCTCTTCACCTGGGGTCTGGGGCGGTAGCCGGTGAAAGCAGCCCGGGCCAGGTCTGACCGGTCTCTGCCGCCGGACAGGAAAGGGGTTGCAACCCGCGATTCGAGGCCCACTGGGTCCAGCCCGGCGCTCCTCCGGAGCTGTGAGCGCTTCGGAGGGAGACCGGCAGAAAGGGAGGGAGGCCGGGAGGAAGGCCTGGAGCAGCGGGGTGGGGAAAAAAGCGCCCATGACCCCTGAGGGGAACGGTGTTTCGGGATCAGGGGCTCTCACCCCCTTCACTCTGCTCGAGTCCCCAGGCTGCTTTCGCAAGAGGGGTCCTTTTGAGGACTCCAGGAGGAAGCAGATGGCGGAGCGGTGGGGAGGCGGGTGTCTGGCGGAAAGCCCCACAGACCTGGGAGGGGGCGCACGGCTCTGGTCTCAGATCTTCCCCTGGCCCAAGCTTCTGACCGTTATGGGAACCGGATTAAGAGAAGGGATGATCCCATAAGATTCCTGTATTCCTCATTGCCCCCCTCTGACCATAAAGCTGGTGGAAGGAGGCAGGAAAGACTGTTGCTAGGGAACCCTAAGCAAATTATCCGGAGGTTGAAATGCAAATACATCTGACAACTCTTATTCAACCCTTGAAGCGCCTCCCATTGGAGAGAAGGAAATGAAGCAGCGGACTCTTCGGGCTATCCCCCACACCCCATCTCTGCAGGAACTTACAGTTCTGCACCCCTCCCCTGAGGGGGGTGCCCTCAGGGTCCCTGGGCTAACAAATCTCCCTCTTTCCACCACCACTTGCTGAGAAGAATCTCCAGACGCTGCCAGGGTCGTTTTCCTCCTTACCGTGAGCAGAACAACCAGATGTTCTCCCAGAGAGGCCCGGGACCGCTGGGTCAGAGCGTGGCTGACTGGAGTGAGACAACAGAAACGACTTCCCGGAGATGAGCACTGACAGGGACAACAGAATGGGGGTCAGAGGAGGCCTGGAGTTGTTCCCCACCCTTACCCACTGACCAGGTGACACTGCCTTGCAGTGCAAGCAAGAGTGTGGATGACAAGAATTTCAAAGGCATTCCAGGAAGTGGAAAATATTTATTGAACACCTGCTGCATGCTAGGCTTTGGGAGCAGGACTGATTCTCTGGGGGAATCAATGCTTGTTCTTCTAAGGTAAATCCTGAGTCTGGAAAACAGTCAGGATTAAAATCTTGCCTCTCCACTAAATTGGCAGTTGTTCCTGGGTTAAGGATTGTCCCTCATGGGACCTCATGTCCCCGTTTGTCTGGGGGAAGGGAAAGATGGGAGAGTCAGTTCCTTTCCCTGCTGAAGCCCCAGGCGATTAGGAAAGGTCTTGAATGCAGAGAGGACAGGTAAAGTTCAGTTTTCCTCATGGTTCCAGTCATTTCTGCTGGAGCCGGGAGGCATGTCTTGGTCAGACCCGGCTCATGCTCAGCCCTGAACCGCATCTAATGCCCATTGGGCAGGCTTCCGTCAGTGAGGTTGGCAGGACTGTCTTACTCCCAAAGCAAGTGTTTGGTTCCCACTGCTACCAGGACTCGTGGCCTCATTTTTCCGGGGCTAGCCTCTCCCTCCTCTCAGGGTTGGCTGCTCTGGAAGCCACCCCAGCATCTGGCGGGTGTCTCTGGCTGAGGACGAACAACAGACAGCCCAGCAAAGCCTCTCGAATGTCCTGGGAGCCCAGGCGGCGGGCCAGTTGACGCAGCAGGGGCAAGAGGTGCTGGCGGGCCATGCGGGCTGCAGGCAACAGCAGGCGAGACAGCAGCATTCGAAGCAGCAGCGGGAGCAGCGGCACAGGCATGGCTGGGTCAGAGACTTCAAAAGCAATCCAGAACGTAGGCTTGCCTTTCCTGTTCCCTGCTCACCTGGCAAAGACATCAGATTTTATGCAGAATTCCCAACTCCTTCTGTTTCCACCATCACATTCCCAGACCTCAATTTGTGGATCGCATCTGCTTTCCTGAAGCCCATTTTCTTGGCAAGGTAGCATCTGGGGCAGGAGGGTTCTCCCTGTAGAGTAAAGCTGAGACTAGGGCTTACAGCCTGCCACACCCAGGCTCCAAGGGCTGCTACTGTTCCCTACACCCTTCCCTCCTCCAGTCACCCCTTCTCTTGCACACTCTCCCGACACTCTCCATCCCTTCTTCCTCAATCCAGGAGGAGTTTTTCCCCAGGCAATTCTAAATTTCCTTTTTTTGTCAGAGGGGAGCCTTGATCCACCCTGAGCTGACACGTCTTACCCTCCCAACCCTCCACCCCATGGGCAGCAGCTCTCACCAGTCAGAACCACTGCTCAGAAGCAATCTCTGTCTGAATTGACTTGTGGGGACACAGCCTCACATGGCACTTGATACACAGGGCTGCCCCACCCACCTTGGCCCCACCTTGGACAGCTTGTCAGGGTGGGGGAGCTGCGAAGAGACAGCTGTGTGCTGGCACTTGGTATTTGGAGGGGAGGGGACAGCTGGGCTGCAAGAAGTGGCAGGAACAGATGCAGGAATTCTCCCTACAGGGTTCAGACCTCAGAGTTGGAACCCAGACTGCACTTTAAATGTGACCTCATGCCTGCTGTTTTCTCCTCTCAGTTCTTTTTCTTTTAATTTTTATTTATTTATTTTTTTTGGTAGAGAGAGAGAGAAAGAAACATTGATTTATCGTTCCATTTATTTATGCATGTGCCCAGACCAGGGATCGAACCCACGACCTTGGTGTATCAGGATGATACTCTAACCAACTGAGCTACCTGGCCAGGACAAGATTGTACTTTCTAATGACGTGACTGTATGCACGTTGATTCTTCATTCTTCGGAGCTCCGGTCCCCTCCTCAGTTACCTCAGTCTCTGGGGGTGGCTGGGGGGAGTAACTGGAGTGGGACTGTGTGTGAGATGCCTTTGCCCAACCTCAGGAACAGTGAGACTGCAGCCCAGACACAGCGGGCGCTCTCAGAGTGGCTGAGACAGGGAGAACAGGCCCCGGGCAGGCATTTGCGGGCCCTCCCCTGGGGTGAAGGAGCCGGGTTGCAGTGCATCTCACAGCTGGGCTCAGTTAGACAGAGCTGGGCAGCACTGCCATTGAGGGACAGGAAGAAGAATACCCACTTCTCTTCAGGACCCTCTTCTCCACCTACTTTTCCCCCCAAGATTAAATGAAATTCCACGAGGTAGCAAGATATAGAGACAGCCTGGGTTTCTTTTGTTTTTCCTACTTTATAAAATGGACATAATTTCTGCCTTGCTGGGCTCAGTGAAATAATAGTCATGAAGGTATTTTATGAACTTCAGCCTAGCCTTGGGAATATGACCATCTGTCATCATTTCACCACCAGCCTGCATCATCACATCTCCAAAACCATCGAAGACCTTGAAGAAAGAAAACAACTATCTGAAAGGCCTGCCCCACTTCTGCCTGGAGGAAGCAGGCACTAGGGTATAGATAAGCAGGCACTAGGGTATAGATTTACAGGCATTGTCTTGCTCTCCTTCCAGTTTCTTCCTGAAGATATGTGAAAGCCACGTGTCATCCCTGGGCTCTGGGCAGAACTCGTATTGGGTGCACGTGCGTGCCAAGCCTGTGAATTCATGATCACTCTCAATTCTCACCACCACTCTGCAAAGGGAGGCAATTATTATGACCCATTGTATAGATGAGGACACTGAGATTCAGAATGGTTAAGCAACTTACCTAGAATCACACAGCAGACGGATGACCTGGTCTCTCCCCCAAACCTGTCCCTCTCTTTGGCTCTTCCGTGTCCATATGCGGCAGCTGCACCTTTCTAGTTACTCTGGCCAGAGCCCTTGACTTGTCTCTTCCCATCGCAGTTCATTACCCATATTTGTAGATCTGGGTGGCTCTACTTTCCATCTTCTCTCATTCTGGAACATAAAGCTCTTTTTATGAAGGTATAGTTGATATGTAATATTATAGAAATGTCAGTTTTGTTTATTCATTTGTTTAGTTTTTTAAGATTCTATATGTAAGTGAAATGATAAAGTATTTGTCTTTCTCTGACTAATTTTACTTAGCATAATACTCTCTAGATCCAGCCCTGGCTGGTGTGGCTCAGTAGATTGAGCACTGGCTTGCGAGCCAAAGGATGGCTGGTTCGATTCCCAGTCGGGACACATGCCTGTGGGCCAGGTCCCCAGTGTGGGGAGCACAAGAGGCAACCACACACTGATGTTTCTCTCCTTTTTTCTCCCTCCGTTTCCTGCTCTCTAAAAATAAATAAATAAAATCTTTAAAAAGAAAATGCTCTCTAGATCCATCTATGTTGTCTCAAATGGCAAGATTTCATTCTTTTCTATGGCTGAGTAAAATTCTATTTTATATATATTATATAAAATGATATGATATAAAATCTTACATCATACTTATCCATTTATCTATTGGCGAACACCTGGGTTGCTTCCATATCGTGGCTATTGTAAATACTGCTGCAAAGAACATAAAGGTGCACTTACCTTTTCAAATTAGTGTTTTTGTTTTCTTTGGATAAATGCCCAAAAGAAAATGAAGTTGGAATTGCTGGGTGTTTCTTTGCCTTTTGTTAGAGCCTTTGTTTTGAAGTCTGTTTGGTCTGGTTTCAGTATTGCTACCCCAGCTTTTTTTTTTCATTTCCATTTTCATGAAATATCTTTTTCCACCACTGTCCTTTCAGTCTGTGTATGTCTTTTGATCCAAAGTGAGTCTCTTGTAGACAGCACATGTAAGAGTCTTGTTTTTTTTAACCATTCAGCAGGTGTAATTTCACAGCACTCAGAATGTCACCCCGTCTCACCAACGCCACCAGGACCGCCCACACCTGAGCGTCGCCTCTCGCCCTAAGCGTCCGAGTAGCCTCCTAACTGGTGTCCCTGTTTCCTTCTCTCCTCAGTACCAGAGTGATCTTCATAAAACGTGGATCGGGATCTGTTGTTTGCTCCAATTCACTCAGAGTTAAAGCCAAAGGTTTGAATTATGACTTACAAGGCCCTGGCCTGGATGGTCTGGCTGATTCACCTTCTAGTTTTTGCCTCTCACTCTGCTGCAGCCACACCGGTCACCTTGCAGCTCCTTCACTGAGTCAAACATGTTTCTGCTTCAGGGTCTTTGCACCTGCTGTTGCTCCTGCCTGCAAGGCTCTTCCTCCGGGCATCCACAGGTCTCCGTCTCTGATCTCCTTCTGATAGGGGATGCAAGAGTTGGAAAATTTTAGTTTAAGGTGAATACTTATAAGCCTAGTAGGGAATTCATATGTTAAAGCTATTGTTTCAGAAACTACAGATAAGGCCCATCCTGGCTCCTGGGGGAGAGACAGCCGACCTCCTGGGGCACCGCTAAAGATTACTGCCTGGGGACAAGTGGAGGAGGCATGGGGCCATTGTGTTCCAGACAACCGCAGGCCCCTGGGAACAGCTAACTGCCTGGGGAGAGAATACTGCAGTTTTTAATCTAATTTTCCCTGAATTTCAAAATTCCTCACCGCACTTTGTTCTCTGTTAGGAAAAGGCTGGCTTGGAAGGAAATATAAGATGGTCCTTTAGGGTAGGAACCCACCGTCTCCTCAGATCACCAGCCATCTGAATAAAGTGCCCATAAAGATTCGATTCCCGTCTCTGCTTATTGGGTTCAGTATGTGACAGGCAGCACAAATGCCGTTGTCTTTTCCTGTTTCACGTCAAGTCTTTGCCCAATGTTATCCGTCCATCGTATTTAAAAGTACACTCCCCCCACCCTATCTCCTGCTGCCTCCTCTCTGTCCCTTCCTCTGCTGTGTCTCCATAGCGCTTCATTGTCTGACATGCTATATATTTTATTTTACTTCCTTATCTTACTGGTATCCGCCTCCCCGACTAGTAGGTAAAGTCCATGACAGCAGGGACTTACATCTATTTTGTCAGCTGCTGTGTTGCCAGTGTTTGGTAATAAACATTTGATGTAAAAAATAAATAAATGAAAATTCTGTGACAGGGTCAAACCCAGGCCTGCTAGCCCCAGAGCCTGTGCCTCCAAGCCCCAGAACTACGTGGATCTGAACACACTTCTGGGATACGAGCGAGGACCCTGCAGGCCGCACACAGCTGGAGGGAACCACTTGGAGGGGAGGAACTGATCACACTGAGCCATAGAAAAGAGAAGCCAGGCCTCAGTGGTTCCCTCTGGGAACCTCCAAAGTGTGTAATTTTGAGGGTACTGTGGAGGCCCGACCACGCGCTGACTCGGATGGGTAAGTCACACAGTCCCTTCCAGCTCAGCTTCCACAGCTGTGGGGTCTCCCAGCTGTGAGAACCATGGCCCCGGGGCCTGGGACCAAATGCCTGAACCATCCCTGTCCCCTATAAACAGTGGAACTCCAGGGACCTGGGTCATGAGGCAAATAAAGGAAACAGGATGTTGTCTTTGTTAACAATGGGGAGCCCCAGGGGAGGCTGGGAAGGGAGGTCAGGAGCAGCGGTGGCTGGGTCCAGGGCAGGGATCTAGTCATAGTTCAGTCTCTGTCCCCACCCCCCCTGAGATTAACTCCTCTTTCTACCTCTTTCCCACTCTCATCTGTGATAAACGTCAGCCCACCCACCTCAGCCTGCCCCAGATATTGTCTCCGAGGCAGAAAACCAAGGGCTCTACTAAAGATTTCCTCAGTCTTTCCTGGAAAGATAACCATCCTCTCCGGCAACAAAGCTGCCAGAGGCAGTTTCTCTTGGTTCCTGATTATGCCACGTATCTTGCCTCCTTTGCCCTGACCTCTACTCCTCTCCTCTGCTGGGCATGGAGGGTCCAGGCAACTTTGAGGAAACTATTCAGACCTCCTGTTTTTAAAAGACAATTAAAAACATATATATCACTGTGGCCAGATCTCTCTCATATTGATATTTCTTCCTCTCTCTCTCTCTCTCTTCCTTCCTCTCTCTTTAAAACCAGGAAACATACCCTGGCTGGCGTAGATTAGTGGATTGAGCAGGGGCTGCGAACCAGGCATTGCAGGTTTGATTCCCAGTCAGGGAAAACATGCCAAGGTTACAGGCCATGGCCCCCAGCAACCACACATTGATGTTTCTCTCTCTCTCTCTCCTTCCCTTCCCTCTCTAAAAATAAATAAATAAAAAATCTTAAACAAAATACGGGAATTAGAAAATCTTTGGGAAAAAATCAGGAAACATATCTTCAGGTGAGGATTAAAAAAATGTCTTGGGTATCAGTTTGTGAAGTGAAGGCCAGTGAACTGGGCAGTAATTGACCTCTGGTGTCCTCCTCCCTGGTCCTCTTCCCAGATCCATCTCAGGGTCATCTAGAAGCATCCTGGGGGCCCCTACCACCCACCCCCATATATTGAATAGCCATCAGCTAATTGGGCCATTCATGTCCACAACAAGCATTGCATGCCTACAATGTACCAGGCCTGTGCAAAGTACTGAGGACACAGGACGGCCACACCAAGAGTCAGCAGGGTAACAGCAGATAGGGAAACCAAGGATGGGGTGGGGAGAGTTGTAATAGAGATGATGGGCTCTTTCAAGACCTGAGATTACTGAGCGTTCTGCTCCTCCCACCCCTTTCTGCTCGTCCCTATCCAGCGGGCCAAAGAACTCTACAACCTGGCCACCGCCTTTCCTATGACCTGCACAGGAAGGTGAAGGATGCTTATGCATTGTTCACTCAGATCTGGCTTTGCATGCTGGCTCTGGGCTCTGTCTCAGGGTTGCTCTGGCTGCCTGAGCAGGCTGTACACTGCATCACCTGATGTAGAAATGACTCCCTCTGGAGTTAGCCCTCTTCCCTAAAATGGGAATGATCATAGCACCTATCTTGGACAGGATCAAGGGATGAGAGAATACTAGGTCCAGAGCTTAGCTCCTAGAAGATGTCCAATAAACAAGAGTTTCCTTCTGTTACCATTGGTGTTTAGCTAGATATTGAGAAAGGGAGCAAAGGGAAACTAGGCACTGAACTTAATAAAATAGGGAAGTATAAATCTGCTTGCTGAGTCAGGAAGCTACAACTTCACACTCCAGGGGCCCACAGCATTGTGCTCCACCAAGGTAATTAACACCTTCCTCTCCTCTTCCAGTACAGGACTGTTGGGCACTGTGGGAGGTGCTGGACCACAGAGGCCTATCAGTCTAACCAGGGGGCAGACCTATCAAAGACCATGAAAGTTCAGGAAATTGATTGGTTCTTCTGAGAAAGCACCTGGTCCATTCCAAACTGAAGCTCCTGGTTATAACCCCAGAGGAACAAAGAAGCTCTCTCTCTCTTGCTAGTGACCTGCACTCACACTGCATGCCTCTGTTTTCTCCATGGCCATGTGGCTTTAGCAACCACATGGCTCTTGGCCTCCAAAGGGAGTCTGAATACAGAAGCACAGCAGTGGACTACAGCCGGGAGCACATGCTAAGCTAGCCAGATGCTGGATGGACTGAACTTTAGCATGGAGCATAAACTCCGGGCAGCGGTCTTCGTCCTGGCCTTACCGAAGACAAGATAGACTTCTTCCACGGCAGGGTGGAGGGAGGCGGGACACAGGAAGCCCAGGGAGCAGTTTCTCTTTCCACATGAACAACCCATCCTGTCATCCCACAATCTCCTGTGCATGGGTTCCTGGAATTCTTTTCTTGTGATCATGAGGAACAGCCTTGTGTATTGATACCAGCAGCACTTCCTTCCATCCTTTGGGTTTCCCTCCCAGTTTATTCTATGTCTAATGCCAGCCCAGTGGCTGCTCCCTGAAGGCCTGCCACTGGGCACCCTGATGCTGTGAGCAGCTGCCTGAGAGTGGATGCTGGGGCTCACTTGGTGCTTGAAGAATCAGTGGCAGCCTGGGTCCCCTC